TTATTATTATTTTCTTTTTTGAAAGCCTCTTGACATCTCAGTATATGTTTTGTACATGGTTACCAAAGCATGTGTGAAAAGTCATGAACACACTGAGATATTATTCTCTTCGAATAGATTATTGTCTTATAGCAAGAATGCCGTGAATAGAAAATTAACCCAGTAGTTTCCAAAGGTGACATGAAAATGGATTTGTCTTTATGTTTATGAATTGGAAACAGCTGTCTAAAAAATAATTTATTAGTAACAACTTTTACAAAATTGATAATGAGCTAATCAATCTCACAAAATATTTTAAAGTTGCAGCTAGGATGTTGCATGATAAAGAAATTGAGGTGTTTCTTGCATTTTGCCACGGCACTGAAGAAGATTGCCGTTGGGATAGAAACGTTTGCATTAAATTTGTTTTTTCAAACTAGAGACACCTTATCAGCTATAAGTTAAGCTTATGTAAGCTTACTCTGTTTTTATATTTCTTTCATTATAAGCTTAATCCCCATCTAAAGAAACATAGTAACAATATATCTAAAACAGTCACAAAATATCTATATAATAATAAAGATTAAATAACACTAAACGAAACAGCTCGAATAAAAAGTAAGTTATATAAGAATATAAACTACAATTTGTAGCTCTAGAGCTTACCAACTGTATCTTTTGGAAGAACGTTGCTTGCTAGTGGATCTTTCATATTTTCACGAGCCTTCGACGTTGTATCCAAAATAAATATAACATTAATAACAACTGTAACACAAAGTATAATCACTAAAATCCATTGAACAATTCGTCCTAACAGTCCTCGTTTTCGTATTCTATAAGCTGAACGTCGACAGGGGATAGGAATCGTGTAGAATGATGAACTTGGTTCAAATGGCTTTGCATTGGGATTTGGTCTCCATGTAGACGCCATTTCAGATGCTTTGGAAGGGTAATTACACGATCCCTGTTGTGATACGTCCACTTTTAAATATTCATGCCTCTTCARAGTCCTCTCAACCAAGAAACAAACTAGAAACTGGACTTTTATCCGACCAATGAAGCCATTTTCGAAAGAGGGACGTTAGTATTCGTTAAATATTCGGAAATTATTCGGAAAATTCCGAAACACAGGAAGACCAATTTGAAATATTTTATAGACTGTATCCMATTTGAAGGTATTTTATCCACTGTATCTATCGCATATTAATCTTTTAAAGATATTTTTAACTTATGCCGCGGCGTCACTTTCAAGGCCGTAACTTTGGTATGTAACGCGAGAACGCACAAAAACAAATATATTGGAACGCTTTCTAGTTCGCTCGGCTAAATCAGTTGTAATAAGTCTAATAACAGTGAAACATATTTCGGATAGTTTTTCTAGAAGCGCACGAATTATTCTCATCAAACTAGGCAGTTGCTAGAAGTTAATCCGAATGGGTTAGTTGTTTTCACAAATTGTATGTTAGTGCATCAGACTGGCGATTTTTTTCCCCCTAAAAACAAATATTTTTTATGCAATAGCCAATATTCAAAGATATTAGCTTCTTGAATACAAGTTGACAAATGCCTAGAATTTTAACTCGCTACAAATGCTTGAAATAATTGTAACTGACAACAGACACTGAGACCCCCCCCCCCCCCCGAATGTAATTATAACTTCTATATTTTGTTTTTCAAGTACGACAGTGATACGACTTCGCCTCAACTGACAACACAACTATCTTTGTACTTTGTGCAAAAGAGATCACGTAAACTAATCCTTAAACCACTACAAAGTGGAATTTCAGAAAATTTCATAATTGATTTTAAACAATTTAAACACTGATTGTTAGGTTTATTAGAAATATCAACTTCAAATATCTCGGAGTAGTTTTACAGGTGCCTTTCTCAGTACAAAAACTGTGAGGCAATGAAATTAATGAGATGGGTTTCCATATCCGTCAACACTAGCTACAAAACGGATCAAAGTGTCGAATAAAGTACGTAACGCTGTAACCGAGCCTCTAATTTTTCCGTGTTACATTGCAGTAAGAGAACAATTAGAGGCCGTCATTTTCTAAGTTATTTCGTGGTTTTACTTCAGTAAAAAAACGAACCAATAAATAACGCATTGATGTTTGTACAAGTAGAGGTCTTCAACTTTCTCAGCTGTCCAGCAGCTTAGGGAAAATAAATAGATAGTTGATTGAAACAACAAGTCAGTCCTTTCCATATGATCGCATTCAGCACAATTCGAATACAACGTCTCAAATGGCATATACAAATTTAAGTTGTAACACACGGACCCGCCGTGCCACTCTTGAACGATACTGAACTATTCTGTTATGGAATATACGTATTTAAGGTCCATATATRTTGGGCTTCGCGCGGTGGAAGTCGATTCTTGTTCAACGCTGTGCGTCTGTTCACAAGGAGTACCATCAAGGAAGACAGACTGATGGCTAAAGCTTAGGCAATGGTAGATCTGGTAGGATCTTGGTCTTGCCTGGAACTCGGGATGCCTGGACAAAAATACACCATGTCATCAGTTGAGCTAGTATGCGAACGATACACCTAAGCTAGTCCATTTCCGTTAGTAGTAAATATTTTAGTTTTTACATGTATAACTTGAAATTGAGTTATTTACCAGCAATCGACCATCAGGCGGTAGACTATACTTGGACAATGTAATGGTGGTGGAAGTCGATATCCAAGAGAAACAGCCTCGATGACCTGAAGCAAAAACAAAATTCTTAGTTAAATCGGGCTAGCCCACAATGCTACGTTGTTATATCTCCTTTCCATGGTATTCTTTGCAATAAAGGAGAAAAAACACAATTGCAAGAATGGAGAAAGAGGGTCTTCGAGACGAAAAGAAACAGGTAGGGCACCATTTAGATCAGGTCGGTTCATGATCTGGGAGAAGTGTGCAGAGGGTGTCAATCCATGGCCAGAAGACATTTTATGCCACAGGTTCTTCTAGCATAAAATGCTCTGCACCCAGACTTCGTCTTAGGGATCATTTCTCGACCCGACTGTGCAAAGTACACATCAAAGTACTGAGATATTAGCACAAAAATAACTGTAGTCGCTGTAAAGCTTTAAAGTAACTCTTTTACCTCGTTGTTGTCTAAGTTAAGGTACGGTTTGTGTCCTAATGACCATATCTCGTAGAGTACTACACCATAACTCCACACGTCGCTACTACTTGAATACTTTCCAAAGTTAATCGCCTTAAAAACGAATGGTTTTGAATGAGTTTTTGAGAGATATCTGGACAGTAAAAATTCCAGTTTCATTTTTGCATACAATGAACTAACGAAGACAAACCTCGGGTGCAGTCCATTTGACGGGTATTCTACCTCCACGGCTTGTATAATAGTCACTTTCAACCAAATCTCGTGACATGCCGAAATCTCCAATCTACACAAGCAGCACAATTGAGTACTTAATAGTGAAATAACATTAAAATCAGTATGACATTATATGCAGTAAAGCAGTAAAGCATTTCACACGCACATATTATACACTAAATTTTACCTTACAGGTCATATCTGAATCAAGAAGAATGTTCCTAGCTGCAAGGTCCTGAAACGTAATTTGAGTAAACTCCATGAAACGATATAACATATAATGATGGCATGTTATTTTAACAACTGTTAAGTTACCCTGTGTACGAAAGAGAGGCTGTGAAGATACTGCATTCCAGCGGCTATATCACGAGCCATGCGTAAAAACTGCGTTCGTGTATCGCTTTGTAGAACTACATCTTCACCGTGTCTAGAGAGAAAAGAGGAATTTTCTCATATACAGTATAAAGTACGCATGCTTTTAGTTCATGGGTTTAGGGAGAGTACGCACAACATGTTAAACAATCTCTTACTTGGAGTTCAGATCACGAAGGTAGTTCTTGAGGTTTCCTCGACTCATGTATTCAAGGATTATCATAACCTTCAAATAAATAAGCTATTAGAAGTTGTGAAATAACTTTGCGCCAGACCCCAGGGCAATAAACCAACACATCAGTCACGGGGCCCTTTGGACTTAAGGCCAGTAAGTATTCTGAGTTCGAGTCGCGCGCGTTTTGAAATATACCTTTGATATATAGCAGGAATAAAATTGACCTCAATACAGCCTTTTGCAAAAATTATGAGAATTGTCGAAATATCTAAATATCATAATATCGAGTGCATGATGGGTAATCCCGCGCGATGCCCTTAGTCCCTTGTCTTTGTAGTTTAATTTTGTTTTGGCGACAGACTTATCCGTAGTTCTGAACATTTTCTCGATGTCAACAATGAATTATTCTAGCAAACCCGCGTGTTCCGGACAATATATGGATATGGATATTATGATATTTAGATATTTAGACAATTCTCATAATTTTTGCAAATGGCTGTACATCTAACTATAGCAACAATACGTCAATAACAATATTGACTCACCGGTTCAGACGATGTAACGGTGCCGTACATGTAAATGACATTWTTGTGAGTAAACTGTCTCATAATTGCAGCCTCTTGCAAAAATTTGATTTTGTTTTCTGCTGAGTGGGAATCGCGAAGTATTTTGACAGCTACTTGGACGGGAATGCCTGGTGACTGCAATATATATTTATAGGCTTCATTACAATATACTCAATAAAAAACTGATACAATATACTGGTATACCTTGTCCCATACTCCAAGCCAGACGTGACCGAATGCCCTACAGACACAAAATCAAAAAAAGTTAACATCTTTTAAAACGTATATCCCTTGCTTTTGCTCCCATGTTCCCCTCGAGACCGTCTCTAGTTAACACAGGAGCTCCAACATATCGAAGCCAGAAATATTATTTGTTATCACCATGTAATCCTTGGAATTATAATGAATTCATACCCAGAGCCAAGTTTTTCACTGCCGACTTCAATCTTGCTCCTCTGGATCGCTCTCGATAGTTGCAGATACAACTCCTCCTCGGTTTTAGCAGGCGTGCAAAACTGGGCACCAATCTCATCTCCTTTTTCGTTCTCAGGCTCCAAGATGCCGTACATTGGCTCGGGCAAGGCAAGAGATTGATGAATGGTGTAGTTTTTCTAAAATTATTAATTGATGAAGATTGTAAGAAATATGAAACGCATGAAGGACTGGACGGTATTTGAAAGTGACCAAGTTACCTGAGTTGTACTTTTGTCCAGTTCAAAGTAGAACGGTTGACCCAATCTTGGTTTAGGTTCCATATCCTTCTCGTCCATGTAAGGATGGTCAGCGGAGAGTATGGTAGCAGAACGTGCCTTCAATGCTCGAACGGCCTGCGCATGTTATGATAGATATACTACAATCAAAGTTCTGCAGTSCTATTACCAGATTTTTAAGTTACGCGATCAATTTTGATCATGACCGACGATTTCCGAGGTGCGAAGTAACAAGCATCGCACGCGTATGCGCGCCTTCGACATTTTTGAAAGCGTCTGCGCACTTCGGACTATTGAGACAATAATATATAAAGGCTACTGGACTGACTGCTATCTTTACACAAGCTGATTCAAAAGTAAATTTATCGCCACCATTAGTCCTTATWAGCCATATCTAGCATTGCGCTTTAGTAATGGGCTCCGAATAAACAAAGACACACAACTGAAACAAACAGGCAGAAAGATGGACCCGCTTCTTACCTTCCTCTCCGCGAACGTCTGGTCCAAAGTGCTGGAAGTCAACGCGGAAGTTATATCTTTATAAGAAAAACATAGCGTTAATACTTCTAAATAATATAATAGCATTAATTGGACTAACTTTACATGGACTAACCGTTTAATGGTTCGTCTTTCTGTCCACTTAGATTATCATAACACTTGATTCCATTCATWGGAGCCATCTCAGCSTCTTTMAGMYCCATGGCAACGACTGTATGACGCGCCATTTTAGCTTTCCTTATTCGCCAGACAAKCACATACAGAACTACAAAAGTGACTAACAAAGCTRAAGCGACACTAACAATAACGATGATAGTTGAGTTGCTTTGCTGTGATTGTTGTGCTTTATTGATATTATAGGAACGAGTACTTGTCGCCACTCCTCCAYTGAGATCTGGCTCTGTAGACATGACAACAACAGTTCGACGGACAGCAGTCGTTATTTTAGGACGGAATGTTAACGGTTCTGTTGGAGTAGTTTTCTTTATTGTTTTATTAGTTGCTATTGTTAATGTTGTCGCTGATGTTGGTGATGACGTTGTCGCAGTTGATTTTTGACAAAACTTGCCGTTGCCATGAAAACCATTCTTACAGGTACATCTCTTGATGTCATTATCGGCAATACATTCAGCGTCGTCATGACAATCATCTTGTGTGACGCAGTTAGGAAGAATGACGTCACAACATTTAATAGCGTCGACATCTGCAAAGCTTGTTTTGTTGTTGTCTCTATGGTGATCGTACATAGCAACCATTGCCATATTTGGAGGGCATTCAACGTCGTGTAAGCTGATTATTTCACCCAAGTGATTTCGCATCTCGCTCCAGATTACTACACACTTAGAATAATCAATACGAGATTGCTGAAGAGCGCCACATTGTAGCTGGTAAAGACCGTTGAACTTATCAAGGCTGTATATTCCTGGTAGTCAAAGAAAAGAAACATATATGTTAAAGACCCACCTTTGCGATCGTTTGCGGAYTAACTTGTCTCATGATTTGTTCMAAATAAATGATGGCCATTATCGTATGTAAAAAATGCGCGCAAAGATTGCACGGACTGGTCCTTTATTTTTATAGTATAAAAGCTTTTGTGCTTTGGTTTCTTTGCTTACGTTGCCGCAACTGACGTTACCTGTCAAAATATGATTGTTGTTGCACTGTGCATTCCATCGCACATCCTTATTGATTGGTCCGCCCTCTAGACCCACTAGTGACATTTTATAGGTATTTTTGATTGGTAGATTGCAGCACTTGATGTATTCAATGACTTGAAAGTGGCTTCCTTGCTTGTCCCAGAGTCCAATCATAGCTTTTGTTGTATCACTATTTGCTTCTAGACAACTAGCCTGCCACAGTACAACAGGACCTTGGTGTATACTGCTTGAGCCCTGAAGAGGTCCGAGAGATGTACACACGCCTAAAACAGAAAACCRAGTAAGGCTTATTGTAATTAGTTATCCGATTCATTATCATCATTGCTTATGTTAATAATTATTTGAATCTTGATTTTTTTTATTTCTCGAGATATCAAACCAACCTGAGCAAAATGGTTCTGGTTTCATCTGAATGTCATCCAAAGCTATCATACCAGGTATACCCACACTTGTAAATCCATTAATAAGTAACTACAAGAATAAGAGTAACACGAGCATTATTCAACACTTAACACAGTAGTCAACGCGATTTATTAAGTCGTTATTTWGTATCCAATCCTCTGGTGAAAAGTATTTATCCAGACAGATAACAACAAAACACCACTTTTCCTTACCTGGTAGTTGGTATTTACAGGAAGAACCAATTGCTTTTCAAACCATTTTGTACTTTCAACACCTTCAATGTCACCAAGACTTTCAGAAACTGGAAGCTTGATACGTTTATTGTAATAAAATGCCGTGATACTTAATCGYGAGAATTTTTTGACAATAGACCATAGCGATAAGCATCGTTTCTTGCTAGAAGACTTCAGACCAATACTTGCMATTTGGTTGGAAGAACCTGACAAGGTGTAGTTTGCCATGTATACCACGTGACCTGTGTCAAAATCATTGAAAATCTAAGCGTTTTGTTTGGTGGCGATTTGGAGTTTTCAGTGAAGAGATTCATAGTGGGATGATGCGCAATTTATGACTTACCTGACAAGTCTGTTGTTTTTCCAATAGTGTGGTCGCCATTTTCCAACATTGTCGAGTTGCTTATTTTCCAAATTTCTGCATTTCTGTTGTTCAAACTCCACAACCTGCACATCCCATGCTCAAAGGTACAAAGCTTTTGGTTTATAGTAACAGCTACAAGAAAAATAGAAAACTGATTGTAGATGAAAGATATTCGTCAATATGGCATGGTAACGACAGGGATAGTGTCTGTTTCGTGAAGATGTTGTTGACCAAGCCTATCTTTCAGCTAAAGTCACAATCAGTGTACCCTTGTCCTTTGTCATCGCCATCGCTCTTATCAATAACATGGCATTGAATTGCATTTTATATTCATCAATATGCAGAAATTATGATCTTTTTTGCTCATATTTCAAGTATACATAAAATATATCAGAAATTATAGGAAATCATCGCCAATATTTTTTTTCCAGAAAGTACTAGTGCTAAAAAAATATTGGCGATGGTGTCCCATTTTATATATACTGAAATATGAGTCAAAATGATCGGCATAATTTCTGCATATTGTTGTATTTATTACCTTTCAATGCACAGCATCTAATTTTCTTAACTCCATGAATGAACGCGTGATCGTTATAAAAGCCAGCAATGAAATGTCCAGGGGGACAATCAGACTTCGAAGTGACGCCGGGTTCTGAAGATCCCCCGGTACTATCCGGTAAATATACATCAGTACAAGTCTTGTAATCAACATAGTGGTTTAATAYAATACTGCATTTCATTGATGTTAGGCCTAATAAGGTCTTCAACTTTGATGTAGGTTGRACATGKARGCCTACAAATATAAAATAATATGGGTTTTGATTGTCCAAAAACTACCAGCTAATTCCTCATATCTCGACGTATGCGTCCAACAATTTTTAGGTTTAATAGCGATAATTGTTATACCTGTGAGGATGTAGCTATCCGGACACATTGCATTCCAWGGTAGATTYGGGTCATCACTGCCTGCATCCTTTCTTGACAGATTAAACACTTGCGAGATATTATGGTCTACTGGAGCATTACAACACTTGATGTCGCCTAGCAACCTAAACCGATTCCCGTCATCCCCTAGKGACGTCATGGCAAAGGATGATTGACACTGAATCTTCCAAGGCACAACGGCATCCCGTGATCCACCAGTGAGCTTCGAAAGGCCTGATGGGAAATTATGACAATTTCCTTCCCCAAATTCTAAAATACGAGAACAAAACGTTATACAAATCGATGTAAAGTTCCATGGAAAGGCCGACTCTCCTGCAATGAGCAAGATTTCAACTTAACCGTCGAACTATATGCTTTTGATATGTTCCAACAAGGAAAAAATCCATAGAATGAAGACATTTATGAAAAGAAAATGCATGAAAACGATAAGTGCTTGATCAGTTTTGATGGTAGCTTTCAACGAACTTTTCCGTACATGTTTTACCTGATTCTCCTCCTTGTTCTTTTAAAATGCATGGTATTTTCTGGCCATCATGGTCAAAATTAGGAGTGGTAGAACACCATGCAGTTTCACCGGATTCAATGCAAGTATGGCGACTTTTACCAAGGTAAACGAAGGGAAAGACGCAACAACGTGACACGTTTTCTCCATTTGGCAGAACAGTAGTATTCGTRCAATTTGAAGGCTCTGGAATTAAGCCAAGAAACGTAGGGATAATGCAATAGCGTCTATATGTTTAAYACCATACATTTATTTCAGAAAACGTTGATTTCCGAAGAAATCTTGTACTCCAAGACCGCAATGCATTACTGATAGTTCTATCTCCATTCAAAACGAGTTTAGTTTTCCTTGTTTCAGATTGACTATACCATCTCCGCCATGGCTCCGTACACTCAAGAACATCAATGGAAAGCAATGAGAAGTTTTGCAACACAGCTAACATGGACCAACAATGCATTGCGGTCTTGAAATGCACTAAGCATTATATCCAAGTTTTTTGAAATAGTTATATTAATATAACTATTCCGAAGTAGGCTAACAAACGGTCTAGTTCGTGGAGGTAATCTTCTGAGGATGGAAGGAGAGCAATATGTTCAGTGTGAATCGAAATTATAAATTATTAGAGTTTTTTGCATCAGTAAATAATTGCATGTATTCTAGATATAAAGGTATTTTAAAAGCGCACGTGACGTAACGCAGGGATTAATGCCTGGAGCTCTATCTAAAGGTTGTCAACAACAAAGTTTATAAGCAAACATCTTTTAAATAGACATTTGGTATCACTGACTGAGAGCAAGCATGCAGAAAGCGACTTATCGATCCAATATCCGGATTAATGCACAAAAACTGTGCAATGGAGAACGTTTTCATTTTAACTTGTTTGTTTCGTATTTATTTCCTGTTGAAAGACACTCGTCCGACCTCTAACTTTGTATTTATATGTTAATCAGTATTTTTAGTTCTTGGTYGCCGATGAGAGAGCCGGCATTATTTCAACTAACAAAAATCTGTCACTTTCTCTTACTACGGACGTTTGCATGATGAACTGGCCCGGTAATAATAATTAACTTTAACCGAATAACAAACTGCGACAAACAACTTAATTAACGCAGATGGAATGTAGCAGCTACAAACCCTCAAATACATGGTAAACTCTAATGGCTTCTGTTCAGCTTACCTTGTGTATATGTTGTGACAAAGAAGTTTAGAATGGCGATGTAAAGCAAGGAAAAAGCTCCTCCAGAAGCTAACATCACGTGTCGTTTCACGTTTAAACACCTTTAGATATGAATCGTTATCTAGAACTACTCGCTACAGTGGACTTCCTTCACCATACTGCTCTTACAACTCAGTTTCCGTCATGCCCGTTACCGTTACTTCTACTTTCTCTTGACACTTAGGGTAAAAAGATCGAGATGGCCTGATCCAGGCAAAAAATTCCGGATCCAATTGTTTAATATTGACATGACATGTACAGTTATGAAACAATAAACAGATGTTTGACATAGTTCAAACAAAAGAAAGATAAGAGCATAAGGTGTACGATTACAGAGGGGCGTGGACAGGGGATGGTCCCAGGGATTCAGGGAGCCCTAGCTTGCCTTGGCGGCTCTAGGGGAGGGGGGAGGGAGAAAACGGAAGGGGAGGGGGTGGTCAAATTTTAGTTCTCGATTGCATCATGGGTAAAAACTACATTATCTTCTGAAAAGCAAAAAAAAAAAATGTTTACAATAACATTTACAGAGAAAATTTTCTGCAAGTGGATAAAAGCTTTTTTTTGCCGGCTTCGTTAAACTTCGTGGTCTCTTGATTTACTTATAACACGAAAAGCTTATACGGAAACTTTCGCCCTTTTTGAAAACCCTTCTCCAATCTACCATTTTTTATTTTTCCTCAAAATGTTGCTGTATACATCTTTCGCTCGTTCCAGGAAACTCCCGACTCACAGAACATGGCGAAAAATGATGTTGACTTCAGTGAAAATTAATACATTATCTTTATTCACTCCAAATACATTTCATTCTACTTAAATTAATATTTACAAACAATGAACCGTTGGTTTCGTGGTGTWCTTTACTTATTTCAAAACACTAAACCATTCCTTGCTTGGCGTACATGGGCAAGTGATACGAGTTGTACGATAAAAAGCTTAACAATCGTTGCTCGATTGTCTTCTTGGCTGAAGATGCCACGTACGCGTCAGCAAGGTTTCTTCTCTGTTCCTTGGACAACTGATGAGAAATCAAAGAAAACACCAATTACAACGAAACTAAACTAAAGTTAATTTACTGACAGTTTTAGTCATTCTTTCTCTTGTTCTCTTTGTAACTTCTTCATTTTTTCATTCACGTTACGTTAAAATTCTGAAGAACTCGTCATATTCATGTGTTTCAAAGGTGTTGAAAAAAAAAAACGTTTGTAAAGTTTAGCATAAACACAAAAATCTGCTTACCGCTAAATCTTCATCGATCATTTTCCGTACTTTCTCCTCAAGAGAATGGACRTCTTGCTCCTAAAATCATCAACCGTTTTAGTGTAATTTACATCAAGCGCAARTCCAATTCTGCAGGTGAATATACGTCTGTGCGTACTTTTCATAGAATTTAGTATTTTTTGRCAAAGTGCAATTCTCATAAAAAGACACCATTTCAATTAGGCCAAGAATCACACATGCTAGTCTCCTTCGCAGCCTTCTCTTTTGTAAAGCTTTCTGCGAGGAACAGGAAGGAGGCTGCAAAGAAGACTACACACATACAGTATGAAGAGAAAAGCGATAACGACAAACTAAACGCTCACCGGTTTGTTGATGAGGTGTTCCCTTACTTCTTCTCTAAAGTCGTTAAATCTATCGTGGAAGACAGCAAGGCACCAAGACTCTCGGAAGAAGCTTGAAGAAAACAGAAGGATAACATAGTCAAATAAGGCGAGTGACAGGTATTTACGACCGACTTTAGAGCGACCACGTTGTTGTATTGGTCGTTCTAATGAGATATCTCTAAAGAAATGGTAAACGGCCGTACAAATTCTCCAAGACAGTTTTTAAAAAAGTTTGCTAATGTGTGCTTATATGAATCCAACGTAACTCAATAAGCATTTTATTATGTCTCTTTCTTTCCTGCTGTTTTTCCAAATTTCCGCGGTTCGCCGCATCCGCCCCTGCTCTCTAGTGAGGGCACGCGTGCATTTTCATAATTTTTGGCGGGTTTTTCTGCGAGCGCGCGCGCCGCGCCGAATACAGACAATAAGATAAATAAATACCTGTAGAAATCAGGGATGAGGTCCTCATCAAAACGTTGTAAGAGACTATTAAGATATCTCTCRTGAAGTCCGTAGAGGCAAACTAGGTTGCTTGTATCGATGGGCTGATWAAAAATACAAATGACATAAGAAAACGTAAGAACGRTGATAAAACRGGGTCTGTTGTAGTTCATATTGCCTTTCCATTTTTGGTGTGGTYGTTATATTCGTAGGTTCTACTGTTATTGTTGTTGATGATGATGATGATGATGATACTGCTGATGTTGTTTCTATTTTAATGTACTGTAAGTTGCCATACCTGTTTGCTAAGACAAGTAATAGTTTCCACAGACCGGTACTGATTTACATGGAGTCTAAAATACCCTGCCTGGGAATCACTATGTTTGGCGCTTCCGGTCACCAATTCACGTCCCTGTCAGTGAACAGAAACCAATACATAAATTATCGTGAAACAGACAGTCAAACGATAAATCAGTTTACGTATACTGTATAGATCCAGTGAAGAAAAATGCTTTAAAACATYTATGCTTTAAAACAATTATGCATCGTGAAAGTAAAATTATGGAATTTTTACTTACGTATTCTGGTTGAACCATAAGCGAGTCAAGTGGTAAGTTGAGACTGGGTTTTCCTACGTGTAGGTATTGATATCCACCTATATGTACATCAAATATTGAAGTTACATCAAATGTTATGCCATTAATACATGAATCATCCATTATACCATTAATACATGAATAATCATATCATAACCAGTTTATGTGTCCGCGTTGATAACCAATTTTAGTGTAAGCAATCAATCAAGTAATCAGTCAATCAATCAGTTAATCAATCAATTCCCACCATCAAGCAAACCAGCAATCAACTCCTTCAATTGACCAATGAAATAATCAATCAATTGAAACCAATTAGTATAATCAATCAATCAATCAATCAATCAATCAATCAATCAATCAATCAATCAATCAATCATTCAATAATCAAAGTGAATGCATACCTGGAAGAACAGCACTACACATTTTAGCCTGCTTGTATATTGGTATCAGTTGATCATCATCAATCGATACAGGTTCTGGGGAAAACCCTTCTAGTGTAGGATCAAACAGAACCAACATAGAATGTGCCAGCTACAAAACAAATGAATAAGAACACACAGATAAAATAAATTAGATTTAAAATATATAAAAAATGTATTATATATGCAAACAATGTTATAATCACCTTGGCCCCAATCTCTTTGGAATTATAGCTAGCATGTGTCCTGTGAAGACAAAAAGTTGGCGTTTGATGCTATTTATATCAGGTGATAAACACAAAGAAGGGTATACATATATGGTACCATCCCAGGTGCAAATCTTAGAAAGGATCCTGTAGGATCTTGAATAGGATCTTACATAAGATCCTGACAGTGTAAGATCATATTCAGGATCCTGTGTAAGATCCTTATTTAAAGGGACACTGTCAATGGATGACATGCGCAGTAAYAGTCTCACCTCTAACGGACTTTGAAAGTATTACCTTCAAGGTAAATCATTTTGTGGTGCTTTTGACACACTTTGGAATATTCTAGATCTGTTTACGTTTACGATCTGATTTATGTCGCGTCAACTTGGAGTCATAAACTTGAAAACCCTAGTAGTGTTTTCAAGTTTACTCGCGCATGTCATCCATTGACAGTGTCCCTTTACGAGATCATATTCAGGATCCTGTGTAAGATCCTATTCTCTACTTTCACATGACCCATAATACCTTCTGATTTTGGGGGGTAGGTTTTGTGATGCAAATAAAATTAATTGTTATTCAAATATAAATGATTTCAATAACAATAACTACCCCCCAAAATCGGAAGGTATTATGGGTATGCGCAAGTAGAGAATTTAAGAWTCTGTCAGGATCCTGTGTAAAATCTAATTTCCKGTCTAACATTTGATTATTTAAACTCACCAGGATTCAGAATGGTATCTGCGTTGATATTTGGTCAGMGGACCTGCAGCTCTGATGAATTCATCATTAGTGTTAAAATTAGCGTTGATGACAAGTCGGCCATCGAACACCAAACAGCTGTCATTAATGGCTGTCAAAGAATTTAAACATTATTTGAGAGTGAAAATATAACAATACAGCATAAGAGTTGGATGGAGTTTTCAGACATGTACTAACATTCATGGTGAATTCAGTATCTCAACAAGTCAAGATGTAACAGCATGGCGCCTTGCTTTGAAGACCCATGTCAAATCAATATTACAATACCTTTGAAAGCCTGATAATCCACTCTTTTCTCTTGGAAACAGAAGAATGCCTGAAATMAAGGGAAAGATAGAAACAAAATATGAAAACCTGAGATAAATTGTTAACAAAATCATGGAAAAAAGGCTTCTGTCATCAGAATTACATGAAACCATATAAATCCAGAACATGAAAAGTATATTATATTTTCACTTGAAGATATTTTCAATTTTTTCTTATGCAAATGAAATTGCTTTATGTACACAAAATAGTTTTACCTTACAGTCGACCCTTAGCGGTTTATTATCTGAAGTAAACGTAGCACAGCTCAAGGGCGTGTCAAGTTTCCCATCATTCCACTGGGCAAGAGTAAATCCAACATGTACTTGTACACCTACAAGGCAAATCAAAATTTCAGGTTCAACATGAATTACAAATAATTTTCACTGCTTATAACATGAATATGTGGCATAAAAACACTGATCATACCAAGTTCTTTAAGTGACTGCTCAATTGCTTCATCAATGTCTAAGTTATTAAAACAAGATGGTATCGGTGGCGGAGGATGAACCATAATGATGCGACTACTTGGGACACCAACGTGCAGTAGCCCTTGAACCATAGTATATGCTGCCATAGTGCAACCATAGACCAAAGCATTTCCTAAACACAATCATACATTTACAGCTAATCAATTATAATATACACTAATATATTGTAATATAACAAGTAACCTGTTATTATTGCCTGGGCATATACAGAATAGTAGGACACACATGATGGCATCATTTGATTACAACTACCAGTCAACATCACCAGTGTGTTTCCTTAATTGAATACTAATTTGTTTATCGCTCATTATTAAGAAAAGTAAGGTACATACATGTATTATGTAGGTTTTACCTTCAGATGTTAAAAAATGTGTCTTAACCCAGGTGACAGCTTGAGATGCATCAATTTTTGAGTTGATAGTGAAGACATTGGCTGGTAATGTGCCCTTGTAGATGGTAGACCGTGGTTTGTCAACTTCACTTGTAGTTACCAACGTACTAATGTCAGCACCAGTGGGTACTGGTAATTGGAATTGCTGGCCAGTACACAATACCAGATAATCATATGGAACCTTGTGACCATTGTTAACAAAGACTATCTTATTGGTCCTGGGAAAATCAATCAATATAATATTTAAATTATCAGTTGAATCAATCAATTAATTACTCAATCATTCATTCTTTGAATCAATTAATTGATTAATCAAATATGACAGCCTTACTGATTTGTTTGAAAACAACACAGACAAATGTCAGATTCCAGGCAGTTACAGTTATTAAAGAGACTCACCTGTCAATTCTCGTCATTTTCCCTTTTACAACATTGATCCAGGTACGTAAAGATATATGTGCATGATCTTGGTCTGTGAAACACAAACTAAAATACAAAATATCATCAGACATCTCATTAAACTACCATAATATTATACGACAATAGCATTTACATAACCATCACATCATACAAGGGTAGCTTCCATGAAGCTGAAAAAATACACAATGTCTTATATTACACTACATTTAACTACCCTTCATTTTGAACCACACTTGTTTTAGATATTATTTTAAATCACAGTAATTAGAAATCATTATTATATAATAATTATATTATATAATAATTATATAGTTATCTACCTGGACGGTAAGCATTGGTCAACATCAGGTTCTGGTGCTATTTGTCCAGGTAATCCCTTTGGTGAGATCAATGTAAGGTTATTGAATCTCAAATGTGGGCTAAAATGAAGACACACAGGTTAGTATCTTTTCTTCATACATTCATGTTACTGTAAGTAATTCTTGATAGATATGACAGCAGTGCTTAGGGTATCTTACCAAAATACAAAGGTTTGTAGGAATGACAAGCCAACATCTGATGCTCCCACAACAACCACGCGAGCATTGATAGCAACCTGATAAGAAWAAGGAAGAAAAATGAAAAACAAAGAAAATAATTAATATCGTGATTCAGAATAGAATTCATGACACTTTTTCCCAGAAAATGTTACCTTTGGCTCCAGGGTAAGCTTCCTGTTCAAATGATTCAATGCAAATGGTTCCTAACACAACRAAATTCATAAATCTTAAATTATAATAAAAGACATAAATTAAAGGAACTAAAACATGGTTACCATATGAATTGTAAGAACTCAAAATTGATAAAGATAACACGGAGTCAAATTTGAATACTGTCAAGTCTATTACCATTTCTTGAAGTACACGGTCTGATGGAGCATTGATTCCAAGCTGTTTGACAGGATATATTATTTGGCGTCGAGCCCTAGAAGATTAAAAAGCATTTAATAAAACGTATGTTCGTAAATTAAAAAATGTTTTATTTATTTTGCTCAATCCTCACATTACTTTCCAGTTGCTACATGACTGCACATATAATATTAATTACATTAGACAATTCAGTGCATTTCCAGAAAATTAAATATCTTTTGCGAAAAGACTGTATTATTCATTTTTTGATTATAAAATCCAACTCACTTTATTGTTACCAAATCATTCAGGGCTGTCACTGTTGTATGTGGCTTGGTTCCCTATCAAAAGACCAGTTATCATGTTCAATTAGACAATTATTATTAGAGATTATTGGAAAGTACATATTTATCTTTGCAGTTACCTTAAGGGWGGAGTAATGTGGAAAGACGGGATAATACAGGCATGACTTATGAGACAGCCTTAGAATTTCCTAAAAGTGAAAAAATATACAAATTACATTATTTTTCTTTTTTCTTTTTTCTATGTACATATTGTATGTATACAAACATGTACTAGTTGCAAACCTTGAGGAAGTGTTTGGAGTACTGCTGAAACACTGGGTTGAGAACGAAATGGTGGAGATGTCCATGTTCCTCACGTAGATGGTGAYTGAAGTACACAAAGTCTTCAATACTGTAGTGTGAACGAATGAATTCAATGTTCTGCAAGACAATAATCATTGACATTTATTCATTATGTGAACAATACTTGGCGCACTGTCTCAACTTCAGTCAATGTTCTTTTGAGTTATAAGTGTGTGTCATATATTTACATACCTCTTCCCTTCTCAAAACTGCCACGCCCACCACCTGATCCATTGACCAAGCAACAAATGCTTGTATTTCTGTTCCATCCTTTACAGGAATAATGCAATAAGATTATACTTCCATTTTTTTATTTATTTTGATCAAAAAAATTATTTTCCAATCAACATACAACTAAAAAATTAATACTAATTAATACGTACTGCATCTCGTCTTGCTGTTGTATACTGATCAATATCACTAAAATTGAGAAAAATCAGATTGAATTGTTTTTCAAAAATGTGTGAAAAGAAGCACCAAATGTTATTTTTTGAGAATTCCTTTGTGGGCTTGTCATCGCATATCAAAACATTACTTGTTACTACATGTTTATATGCTGTCATCATACCTTAGTATTTTCTCATGTCCATTGAGGTTTTGCACTACTTGCTTGATCCCATTCATGGCTGACGATGTACATGGTTKGACAGTGAATGACCTGGATTGCAATAGTTCGATCTTGTTACAAATAATAACTTTTTTTTACACGTAATAATCTACTTACTCAATCAGACCCCATCGATGATAAACATACAACTCCTGGGACAATGTACTGCATCTCTTTGGAGTAACTCTCTGTTTATTTCAAAACAATACAAAACATTACATTTGCAACAGGAATAATATATACAATGTCAAAAAAAAATCAATTTGTATAGGAAGTTTATCATGTTAATTAATTTATATTACCATACCGTGAATGACTGTAGCAAAGGAAACTCAGATACGAGATGAGGCATGGTTAGAATGCAGTAGTCTTTGTCCTGTGAAGACATGGTTCATTTTAAAGTCATTTAATAGGTTCAATATTTTCTATGTACTAATGATGTAGTCCATTGCACCCAGTGAATAAAATATTGTACCCAATTCGAGATACTGAACATACTTGTATTGTATTAATATGTGGTTATAATGATAAGTAAACTTACCTCAAACTGAGCAAATGCTGCTGGAAGGAAATCAAGTGACCTAAACAAGATTATTCACAATTTTTTACTATTCTTGGAAAATCATTTTTTAATATCTGATTTCAGGATGAAACKATGCGTGTATTAATTTATATTTAGTACCTCATTTCAAACTTTTCATCAATACAGAAGAGTTGAATACAGAATGCAGAGTCCTCTCCATTATATGGTGTAACCTAAAATATGAAAACATTATGCCCTTTGAGACAGATGGCATTATGACATGATGAATCTAAAATTTCTTAATCGTAAACCATGACATCTGACATTATATAATTTTGTTAAAATTCACATACTACTCTTAGTAGTATATAAGAATTCTGWATTGATGACTCAGGTTCATTGTCAGACAACAAAGAAAGCATTGAAGTGAGGCATCAAGGAACACCTGAACACAGATCTATTCTTTTATACCTACAGTACCTTGATACCTTGGTTCAATGATTTGTTCCTGGTCACTGAACCAGACAAATGTTAAGAATAGAATGATATAGTTTACTGTACCTGTCTGGCTGATTCAGTATCTGTGTCTGAAGAATCTGACCTGTTAAAATCAAGTGCAATGGATGAGAGTTTACCAAGATAGTAGATAATTTGATGTATGTGTTAGTAACACTTCGATAATGGAGAATTTTTTATCATTAAAGAAGTATTACTTGGCGTATTAGGATAGTTAATTTGATGCATATTGTACCTCCTCCTCATGTGCTCTTCACTGAGTTTCTCAACAAACACTGAAATCAAAGAAAACATTATTATGATATACAAATAGTTCTTTCAATGTAATATGTAGAATTACTATAATTATAATATATACTATTATTTAAATTGGTAAATGTACATTATTCAAATGAGTCCTCTACCTGATTCATCTCCTTCCTCTTCTTCTTCTTTTGTCCTAAAAAAATGCATATCATTCAAAACCAATAAATTATTGTATGGCAGAGTAAAACAAATGAGGTAATTACAAATGTCTCAAGCTAGGCAATACATGTATCATAACATCATTTGGATTTCTTTGTTTCCTTTGTTTGTTCTTGTTATCTTCTTTCTTTGTTTATTTTGTTTTGCTTATTTTTTCTTTTTGACAACTTACATTGAAATGWCAGCATCCACAGGTTCTACTGGTTTCTGTGAAGCAGTTCCTGTGATTGACAAAGTAAGCCATCTTATTAAAGCTGTGGAACTCCTGTGTTCAATTCTGGGAATACTGTATAGTACCTTTGGTGTCTTTTAGTTTTGTTGTATCAGCTTCTGGTACCTTTTTGAGACCATGAAACGGGCCAAGGTCAAAACACCTGTTAAGTATTTCACAGTCTACCTTTGAGCACACACTCATAAAACCTACAGCTTTGCCATCCACCTACAAACAAGAACATCAATATATTATCACTAACTATTATCAATCACTAGTGATGGCATACATTGTATTCTATTATGGCGAGGGAATGATGACCCTGTGTATGCTAAATTTCTGTTTGATTTCCAGACACTTACAGAGCAACTAATGAAACCTGGGCCACTATCAATAACCAACCACATTGCAGCTTTGAGGTTAACTGCTCAAGGTTCAGTTTCCAAAAGGGCAATCTCATTTCCACTCACAACAGAAGTGTGAGACAATGCTTTGATCAGTTTTGGTGATTCTATAGTGTTATTATTAGTTTTCTGTCATTGACTGCATTTACTGCTATCTGAATGGCCAGATTGAACCAGTGGACCTCTTATATGTTGTTACACTGTAAATCTCTGGATGCCCCTCACCCTCTTAAGCTCTATATATACTAGATGTACATGTAATAATGGGTTTTTGGGGTACATTAGAAGAAGCACCTACATCTGGGACTACTCACATCTGCTACTAAACACTTATTTTCTTCATCTTGAGCCTCAATAAGTTCAGCTAAGAAAAAGTCTCCATACATTGATGTTAAAATTTTGTTTTGTTGATTGAAAATTGGCATCAAGTCATCATGGTCTTCAACCCTGTAAAATTTAAATGAGGCAGTGTTAAAATATAATATAAAAATATAAAAATATAAAATATAATAAAAAAATGGAAAATCAGATAGACAGATGAACAAATTGATCTCAATAAATTCATGTGAATAGATGGATGGAAGAAAATATAAATGGATGGATAAATAAATAGAAAAATATTTAAACACAAAGAGGTGAATGGGATAAATAAATGGATGAATGATTTGATTTTGCAATGTATTGTAGGATGTGTTTGGGACAAAAAACTGATCCTACGATGCATTGCAAATCAAGAAGGTGAAAGCTCGAAAAGTCTATATTTATAATCATTCTAGTGAGTACAAACACTACCTGGCATGACGGATATGTAGCTTTGGACAATGCTCATGTCGATGACAAACTTTAACTTCAAAATTCAATTTTCCACCAAAATTTGGGTTGYATTCCAGTGAAGAGAACACTTCAAACAAAGCTGAACCTTGACACCATAACAATCTATATTAGGTTTTGTTATTTCACACACTGACTGTTTATTCAAGATATGCATACCTTTATCAAATCCTTTTGGATGAACGAGGAATAAGTAATGCAAAAAGGGAACTGCATTGAATACAGTTCTTATTATTTCCAGTGCACTGCCATATGCAAAGTCAGGTTTGGCCACAAAGTAATTCAGGAATAAACTATTGAGTGGCTAAAAAAAGGTTGAATAGATTATTGCATCTTATACAAAGTGAGATAACTTGGTCAATAGCTTTCCATGTCCACCTGCACTAYCCTCCTGTATTCTCTTGGTATTCCTGTGTCATAAAAGGTACTTATCTCTTGACACCAGTTCTTCCTGGCCAGACTTTCACAACAGGAAGCCCAAAAGATACATGTATGTTGAAGAAAGGTAACCAGGAAATTGAGGCTACTCTTGCACTCAGTTCAAGATTTATAATTATTTATTAATCTATTATCAATTTATTTACTTACTGTTGACTTTGATGTGTCATACTTGTCATGAAGCCAGGATTCCCAGTCTGATTGGTCAACACTTGGAATGTTTGGATAATCAAAAAATGCAGCAAATGCTATCACTTCATTGCTGGCATTGACCAAGGTAACAGCTAAGTTTGCTTTTTCACTAGAAATAGAAAAATATCAGTAAAGAACAAATACATTTTGTAACACTCTTCACATAGGATGAAGTATAATAAAGCTGCACAGCATCAGATTGTGGGATAGGATCAGTTTTCAACATTTAGCTTCAGCCAGCATCATAGTCATAATCTTAATCATAATCATTGTCATAAACGAGCTTCACTTGTGAAGTGCTATCATAGTTGTAGCTACAATCATTTGCAAGGTCATAAGGAGTGGTAATGTTTTCATTTTTATCATTATCACTATGACTATGCAATTAGTTTGAACCCTTAAATCAGTCTTAAATGTAAGGATGCAAACAATTTGGACAATGTACATAACTCGGGAAAATGTTTACTTACGTAACATCTGCTGTTCAGAGTGACTGGTGTTTCAAAGTTACCCTTTCCTTGTTATGATTATGATAATGATTATGACACTGTTTAATATAACCTACTCTTTAGAGTATAAGACCAGTAAGCCAATAGTAACTTATAGCTTAAATTTGTTTCTGAGCAGTTACATCTCAATACACTGAAAATGTACACTCTAGCTGCAATCTGAGGCCAGAAGTGGACTGAACTTCACTAATTTAAATTTATGCTCAAGTACATATAGACTGTGAAGAAATACATACATAACATTRACCACATTTACTCGGCCAAACAATTTCTCTGTCGATGGACTAACAAGTTTGATGATTTCAGGAGCATCCAACGACTCTGTTCTTCTGGCTTGAATAACCTCTGGATTTTCCATATCCATATTGAACTAAAAAAAGCAATGTCAAAACTATCACAACTACTAACTACCGATAATATYATAAGCACTTTAAGTTTGACTTTTTGAAAAAGAATTCGTCATTCTTTTTTTCTTAATTTTCGTGACATTTCTTGAAATAAAATCGGCTAGAAATTTTAAAATAGTCCGAATAAAAACACAAAACAAAATAAATTAAATCTAGATACTATACTTCTTCTTACCAGATTATAAAAATTGATTTTTAGTGAATTTTTTCAAGGTTTTTGTGAGCTAAATCATGTTAGCGATCATTTCTGTATTTTGGCGCCATCTTGTTGCTGGGAAACAAATATTACCCACAAATCCTTGTAGCTTTGTACCGGTAGGGGAGGGGAGAGTAATATTTTAATACAACGTCGGCTCGTATTCGGTCAGCGTGTACTGTMATCAGAATATAATTTCTCGAATTCATCCGGCGTTTCATCATTTCATGTGGACGTGGAGTTCTTTGCTGGTWATACCGGTCAGATCGCACAAATTAACGCTCACAGCCATCATCCAAGCAAGGATCTTGTGCACAACAACTWTATCCTCGACAATGAAAACGTACAATGTTGTAGCGAGCTCAACCAAGCCGCCGATTGGTAAGTTTGTAACTACAGAAAATGGATTCACGTGCTGATTTTGCAGTTAAATTATGTTAGAAATGTTAGATTTTTGTTGTTTTTGAATTCAGCTTATCTAAAATCTTTACGTTGCTGTAAGAATGGTTAGAAATGTTTTAGAATATTTAAGTCAGGAAATCAGGCAGTCAATTAATAAAAGATATTCGTACATTCATATTTCCGCCTGTTGTCCAGTTAGACCATACCATGTAAGTTAATTTTGATTTTGAATTAAGTTACATATAAAGTTAGAATTAAAATACACTTTATGTAATTTTAAGTCAATAAAAAGTGATTAGGTGGACTCATTTATTGATTTGACAAATGTAATTGTTGCATCATTATCATCACCATCTTCATTGTCATCAACAACAACAATGGCAGTTAAGACATAAGTAAGTTAGTATACCTTTAAAATTCTATTAGTTCATAGATGGAAATATTTCTAAATATTACAACCATGTAATATTGAAGTGAATTTTCTGTTATTTGTCTTTCATTTTAGCAACACTGTTGACTGTTGAGCATCTCAAGTCTTCTGGTTTGGTTTCTCTTCAGCATGGAGACTCAACAACCCTGAAATTAAACGAGTAAGGCATTTATCTGAAACTGAACCTTTTCACTGTTTAACAGTGTACATTAAGCTCAATGCTCAATGAGTGCATTTGGATAAAATTGAATACTCATGAGAGTGAATAAACTCTTCAAAAATACTCTTTATTAATATTTCATTTCAATGCTTTTTTTTATTTTAAATGTTTATCCCTAAGTATACAGCTATATTAAGCAATGCTGTTAAACTGTAAAAAGTTGTAAAACATCCAAGTCAAGTTTTGAACATGGACTTTGAGATCCAAGTAGCTTGGGTTCCCTGTGGAAAGATATAATTTGATGATGCAATAGATGTCAAATACCAAGAAATGCACCTATGTACCATAGTGTAATATGATAGCAAATTTACAAACCTTTTGTAATAAAGTAAAACACTGCATATAAGAATCTAGATTTTTCCAAGTCACTGAGACAAACAGGTCCTTATATGAATAGTGATCAACTTGAAATCTGGGTCTCTAGGTTCTAAAATTGGGGTCTTAATTCTAAGAAACAGAGTATTGTGTTGGTGGGTTTGGCATTTAATATCAAGTAATTCACACATTGCAATGCAATCTGTATAGCATATAATCTAGAGTTTAAATGCAGGGTAAGCACTCGAACATGCACGGTCGCTATACTTTATTGTAASGAAATAAAATAGATTTGGAAATCAAGAAAATGCTCTAAAATCTCAGGCTGAAATGGTTTTTGTGYGAAGGATRCTTAAATTGACAATTTCAGTCTGAATGGTTCTTAAATTTTAYTGTAGTGATTTTTGTTGCTGTTATTTTTAGTAACTTCACTATTACTGGGGACCACAATGTTGCTCGTCATCTTGCAAGGGTTGCTACWGGTAAAGGTCTCTATGGAAACTCACCACTCCAGGCATCTGAGGTAAAGCATGCTTACTATCAAACAGCGTTATTATCAATTTTAAAAATGTACAGATTATTGTGTAGAAAAATCATTATATTGATTTGCAAACTTGTAGGTTGATCATTGGCTTGAATTCAGTKCAAGATGTCAAGGTAATGACAYCCAGCYAGAGAAAACCTTACAACAGCTAAATAAAAATCTKGCTCCTGTTACCTACTTGGTTGGCTCTTCAGTCACACTTGCAGACTTTGCAGTTTGGGGTATGATCAAAGGTAAATATCACATTTTAAATATCTATTATTGATCTAGATTCACTTATCAAATATTGATAAATGTGTACATGTGAATGATTTTRTTTATCTATTTTAAGGAAATGGAAATCTTCACAACTTGCTCAACAACAGCACGTCATTCCAGCATCTAACAAGATGGTTTAATTTCTGTTGTTCACAATCACCATTCAGTGTTGTAAGCAAGGATTTGCCTAAAACTGATSCAGGAAATGATAGCGGTGAAAACATCATGGGGGTGAGTAGGTTCAGACGGCTTGTTTATAATTGTTTTTATAATTTTTCATGCAAATTGTCATTAAAATTGATTCTTCTTGTTATCAGACTAAGATGAAGCAAGAAGGAAAGTATGTTGATCTTCCAGGAGCTGAAATGGGAAAAGTTGTGACAAGATTTCCTCCAGAAGCAAGTGGGTGAGTATAATGAAGGAATATATTGCAGTATTAATGGCAGATTTATACAAAAACTCTTTGCCCTATTTTGTGTTTAGATACCTTCACATTGGTCATGCTAAAGCAGCGTTATTAAACCAATACTATAAAAATATCTACAATGGTAAACTCATCATGAGATTTGATGACACAAACCCAGCCAAGGAGAGTTCAGAGTTTGAACAGGTTGGTTGATATCATTGGTGTTTCCTTGCACTGAGTCTTTGATTGATTGATTGCTTATTTCTCTAGGTTATTTTAAAAGATTTGGAAATGTTGGACTTCAAGTTCGACATGTTTTCACACACATCAGATCACTTTGATTTGTTACTTGAATATGCTGAAAAGATGCTTAAAAAAGGACAAGCTTATGTCGAYGACACTCCCACTGAAACAATGAGAGAGGAACGTGAGCAGAGGATCAAATCTAAAAACAGGGACAATTGTAAGTAAAATATTATAATGTGAATGATTTCTTAATAAAGCGTCATTTAAATTTTCCAAATCATTGGCCTTGCAATGTAAAAGTTGCTGTAGTACTGGTATTTCATAAAAAATGTAGATAAATAATGCCAAGACTATTTGTATACTTTATCCAGATTTAGTCCAGSCATTACAACATTTGTGCGTAATGAATGTCATGAATGGAAATCAATATTGTTGTCAATATGCAATTGATATCATTCAGTTTTCAATATTTTATTCAATAAAGATTTATGACAAAAGAAAGATATTAAATTCAGTAATTAAATTATGTGAAATTAGAATTAAATTATTACGGTATTTACTGGTATCCTTGTCATTAATTTAAGCTGTTGAGAAGAATCTTCAGGACTGGGAAGAGATGAAGAAAGGCTCCGAGCGTGGCACAAAATGTTGTGTGCGAGCTAAAATAGATTACACTTCATTGAATGGAGCACTTCGTGACCCYACCATCTATCGATGCAAACCAGAAAGCCATGTGAAAACTGGTACCAAATATAAGTAAGTTTCATATAATCGTCATTATCATATCATTTTATTATTCATCACTATCATGCCTATTATTATTCATCATTATCATGCTATTTATTCATCATTATCTTCTTGTTCTACAGAGTATACCCAGTATATGACTTTGCTTGTCCAATAGTGGATAGTATTGAAGGTGTTACACATGCATTAAGAACCATGGAATATCACGATAGGGAYCCACAGTACTACTGGTTTATTGAAACTCTAGGTAAGCTTCACTCTAATTATGTACTGTGATGTATAATGATCATAATCATCAATATTATAGAAAATGGCATTCTCTTGTTTGAAGTATTATAAACTGGACTTTTGGCATTAAAATCTTTAACTTGTAATAAGATGATACATGTACCATGAAGATATCTTTACTTAAATTACTGTGAAAATGTCATTGCAACTTGTACATAATATTTGCATCTTATGATTATTGTTTAAGGTCTGTTTTTTTTTTTCTAATTTGTGGAGTTGAGTCTATGAGCATTTTTTACTTTGAATTTATTGACATATTAGTAGATTTTGTTCAGTTGGACAAACTTACTATAATATATAAATAAAAATTGATGTAGACTGCAAACTTCTCGAGAACTGCATGTAAGCAATTAGATTAGACACGGCAAAACGTCTGAAACGGGCCTAAGATAATACAACATTTCAAACTGCAAATAAAAGATTGTTGCTCATGTAAGCTAATGTTCGAAATGACCTTCATTTCAGGATTAAGGAAAGTACAGATTTATGAATTTAGCCGTCTAAATCTTCAAAATACTGTGATGTCAAAACGAAAGCTAACATATCTGGTAGATCAAGGTTACGTCGATGGATGGTAAGAACATAGTACAATGCACAAGACTACTTCTCATATTTTTCCCTTCAAGTCTAATCATTTAAGCCAATATTACAATAAAGTGAGGCGGCTTTATTATCCCTTCTCAATAAATACCTCTTCTGGGCCTGTTATTCATTTATATTCTTTGTTTCAAGGGATGACCCAAGATTTCCAACTGTTCGGGGTGTTCTAAGGCGTGGAATGACTGTTGAGGGTTTGAGAGAGTTTATCATCCTTCAAGGCTCATCCAGAGCAACTGTACAGATGGAATGGGACAAAATATGGTCAATTAACAAAAAGGTATSACAATRRCCTTTTTTAAAACATAAAAACACCATGCATTGTGCTTTAACTTCAGTAGAAACAACACCATATTGATCAGCAGGTAAAAACAAAAGTTGTTCGTACTGAAGCAAGACGATAATTAAATGCCGCGCTATTCCTTTATTTCAGAAACGACCTTTTAGCATTCCACAGTAGGCAGCTAATGTTCTGCTAAAACGCGTGTAATTTCGTCCGCGCAAATGGTCGAAAATGCGTGTTTTTTTCGTCCGCGCAAAGACACGCTTCGACACATGCACGCGCGAAAAATCAACGCGTGTTTACAGACGAGACTGCGCGACCGATGTTAACATACATTCGAGCTGTACTTAGTATTTCCTTCTTCATGTAGTGACGTTTTTTTTTCCTTTAAAGTATTAAACACCAGTGACTCAGGTACAGTATTTTGACTTGAAGTGTCTGGTCTTGTTTTTTTATCTCATGTAGGTCATTGATCCAGTTGCCCCGCGATACACTGCACTGAAAAAAGATACCATTGTACCGTACAATTTACCAGGAGCAAAGGAAGAGTCTCAAGAACAGCCACTTCACCCAAAGGTACACAAGTTTGTCAGTWAAAGATTCATATGGGAATCACAAACTAGATTGATTTTCTTCTTTCTCATGCAGAAYGCTGATGTTGGAACCAAAAAAGTTTGGTATTCACCTAAAGTATTCATAGAAGGAGAAGATGCRGAAACCTTAAAAGTTGGCGATATGGTCACGTTAATGAATTGGGGAAATACAAAGGTSACAAAAATCAACAGGTAGGCTGTTGTTAAGCATATTCAGGTGAACAGAGCTATTTTCATCAGGGAAGTAAAGTCAAAATTGTAGACAAGATATCAGGAAAACGTTTTTGATCAAATAAAATAATCGGGAAGCTCTAGAAAACTAATTGATCTATTTTTAGTGTTTATTGTTGATGTTGTTGTAGTTTGATTGCTTTTGTTTTGTTTTTAATTATATTTTTTTAGAAATTCAAAAGGAAAAATTGATTCAATTGATGGTGAACTACACTTAGACAATAAAGTAAGTTTCATAAGAGTCAACTTAATTGCTTAAAACATTCATTTTGTTGTCGTATTTATTACAAATTTTACCTTTCATCTAAAATCTCTTTGTCATTGCTGTCTAAATTGGTTTGGTGTGTTTATTACTTTACTTTTCTTTCTTTCTTGACTTTCTGTGAATGTAGGATTACAAAAAGACGACAAAGTTGACATGGCTAGGCGATACGTCCAATGCACCTTTACTGCCAGTAGTGATGGTACATTTTGACAACGTTATTTCAAAAGCAATTCTAACAAAGACAGATGACTTTAAAGATCACATTAACAAAAACTCTAAGGTACTAACTCGCTACTTGTTATTAAAAACAACTAATTGCGAACTTAGAAATGAATGGATATCCTGTAGGATCAGTCTTGATAAGTCTCCGAAACCCAAAAAGTACACTTAGCGCCACGGAATGCACTGTTATTATCGAATCAGTTGTTTATTATGAACTCAAAAGTGCGCGGTAAAAATTGCTGTACAGGTAGTGTGCGCACGTGTTGTTTGTATCCACGAGTTATCATTCTTTTCATTTTAGACGGAGACATCCCTTTTGGGAGAGTCTGAACTGGCAAAATTGAAGAAAGGAGATATAATTCAACTTCAGAGAAGAGGATATTTTATTTGTGATCAGCCTTATGAACCACCAAGGTAAAAATACACAGATAGTGTGTTGGCCGCATCCCTAAAGGGCTTTAATATCTTTCATTCTTTTCGTTTCTTGTTTTCGTTTCAACTTTCTTCTTATTTCATTTCGCTTTTATCCTTAATTCAAAGGCATTTAGATTAATGTTAGGCATTACATCCAAGTGACTATTTTTGCCTTAATTCTGAATGCAGAGATTTGCTCAAACGTAAAGTTTGCATTTGGGAAATATTGGAGATTACTAGAAAGTTATTCTTATTTTTTCAGTCGACATACAGGCCGTGCAAGCCCGTGTGTGTTATTTTCCATTCCTGATGGACACACGAAGTCTCAAGCTCAACCTGCAGCTAAATCTACCAAGGTTTGTAAATTTACTTTCTTCGTTGTTAGAAATACTCACTAAATGATCTAAAGCAATGATCTTGAAATGGAATAAGGTGATTGCGTTACTATGGTGGTCACAAATACTTACAGGGGTAGGCTAAGGGTACTTTTGGAATCGTGGGTTCACTGAACTGTAGACACAGCTTAGAGATAATTTACATACGATTTTACGAGCTGACGTGTTGTACTTTTGTCGATTGAAAGAAAAAAAGTGTAAATTCAAGTAAATTAAGGTAATGTAATAAAACTTAAAAGAAGCTGATTTTGCGAGTTTCTGGTACCTGCTATATTGTTCCTTTGTTGCTTGTAAGTCAACGATAAAACGAGGTTTACGTAGGCTGTGTTTATGCGCGTCTAGCTCTTCCGTTTTGCGAGTGATTATTGATTTATCGAAATTATGCCCTACTTACCTCAAGAACCTGACTTACTCAAGGTTTGTCCAGTTATAATCCAAAACTTGATAAGGGTCTTATCTCGAAGAATGATCTCCAACTCTAAAGAATGAGTTTATATAGCTTTTGAATTAGTAAATAATAGAAGCCGGTGTAATTATCGCTCGACGTACTCTTTATTCACTTTTTAAAAGCTATGAATAAGGAATTATGTCGTGATAGTCATGATCTTTTTGCCTCTGTTGTATCCGATTACAATTTGKTATCTGGATTATTTTTGTTTGATTATAAGCATTTTAAAGAAACTARTTGTCACGAWTTTTTCAAWTWGATTTTGATAAATCTAAGTCAAWTTTCGGTTTGATTTTTATTCGTGTGTTRTATTTGMCTSTATCGWTTATATGTCAMACTTTCAAACTTCCTTGATTTCGACCTCGCTATATCGACCGCCTCCACTAAAATACTTGACAGCTTTCGACCTCTTAATAWTTTACGACCATTATCATGCAAACAGCTTCTCATTCCTTTCTTAAGATGCACCTTCACAGTTAAAATAATCAAAACATTTTCACTATTCTATTTCAGAACGAGAGCAAAAAGAACGAGAAAGGCGGCAAGAAAGAAAAACCAAGCACCACCCCGCAAGCCAAAGCAACTGCTTCTCCTGAGGAAGTCGAAAAACTCAAAGCAGACATCGCAAAACAAGGAGATAAAGTTCGTGAGTTAAAGACAAGTGGAGCAGCGAAGGTTTGTGCAGATAAGGTGTATGTTGGGGCACGAGGGACCGTTGCGGCAGTGAAAACGTGCACCTCGTAAAGTCTTTTTTGGTGCTGGACTGCTGTAGCTTTTAACTCTCAACTTTACTCAACTCTCAACTCGATTCAAGTAGCTACAGTTGCTTAATACGTAGCTATATATTCGTTTTGAAAAACATGATGAAACCCAAATAATAATTCGATATTGTAAAAGTTGACCAATTATGGAAAGACTTCATACCCCCTGCTACGTACAGAGGGAAATTCCCGCTCAAGAAGACTTAGTTCATGTTGATCACACGACTAAATCTCAACTGTGTCATAAGCTTAAAAACTAAATTGATTGTTGATGAAAATACTATTACAACGACGTTTAGGCATTTCCAAATTACTGTAGTATATTTTTATGAATCTTAATTCTTAAAAAAAAACATTTCTGGGAATTAAAACTTTTAGGAAGTTCAAAACATTTCCAGGAAATAAAGGTTGCTAAGATATGACWAGACAAAACCCTAAAACTGCTGACGAATCACAAGTCTAGTATATAGTGCAAGCGGTGATCGTTTTGTTTTCTATATACTCAGGATCAAGTGACAGCTGAAGTTGCTGCWCTTCTGAAGCTAAAAGCATCGTATAAGGAGCTGACTGGAGAAGATTTTGCTCCAGCCGGAAAAGGAAAACAAGACAAAAAGAAAGAAAAGATGGGCGATAATCAAGCAGCAAAACCAGTGTCTGTTGCGGCGTCGAGCAAGGAAGCTGAAAAACTAAAAGAAGCCATTACAAAACAAGGCGATAAAGTCCGTGAATTGAAGACGAGCGGCGCTGCTAAGGTAAGAAGTATTTTTGTAATATCTAAAAATTATTACAATAAATATTATAGGCTGCTAAGTGATTTTTGTTTTATTTCATCATTGTTGTTTTTGTATGAAGGTCGTGTCGAAACACGTTCGAAGAACTTTGTTTCGTTTTGCAAATATATCAACARACGCGGAAGTTTCAAGGAAGAAATGCTTATTTTCGTGTAAATACAAAAAGTATATAGCGTATGCGTGTATAAAACAGATTGCTGCTATGAGCACCTTCTAGGAATTGTCTTTCCAAATATAAACTTGCGTTAATAGATTCCATTTWTCTGACCTTTAGGACCAAGTTGATGCCGAAGTACAAACATTGCTGAGTCTGAAAGCTCAGTATAAAGAGCTAACAGGAGAAGATCTTGCTCCTGCTGGAAAAGGCAAAAAAGATAAAAAGAAGGATGAGAAAAAACAGGAGAAAAAAACTAACAATTCCAAGAAATCTGAAGAAGCAGCGAAGTCGGCAACAGCTGATGACGGAGATTCCAAGAAAATCACGAGGTAGGGTCCTCGTCTTCTCTCCTCCATCCCCCACTCCCCTCGTACAAGTGACATTGAAAAAGGAGTTATATTTTTAAATCAATTCTTCAATTAAATGATTACAGTCTATGAATATAACTTTAACTATGACTACGGACTATGCCTGAGAATATGAATACGAAGTTATATAAAGTTTGTTCTATAAAAAGGRAAAAAAAAGATAGTTACCAAAGTGTTTGAATATTTGTACAGGTTATGTCTTGAAGCGAAAAAAGCCGAGAACTTGTCAGACTGGTACTCGCAAGTGATTACAAAGTCCGAGATGATCGAGTACTACGATGTTAGTGGATGTTATATTTTAAGGGCCTGGTCCTACGCTATATGGGAAAAAATTAAAGGTATATAYCCATCGTTTCGCTGGGATTGTCTATCGTAACTCAATCAAGACCACAATCAACAATGTGGCGAGTTGACAAGTAAAAATTCTCTCACTAATCTCTCTGACAATATTTTTCAACGCTAGATTTCTTTGACGCGGAAATCAAGAAACTCGGAGTTGAGAATGTATACTTCCCAATCTTCGTGTCCCAGGCTGCTCTTGAGAAAGAGAAAGATCATATCGCTGATTTCGCTCCTGAGGTAAAAATTTCAGCTCTCTCCAACGTTGCAACTCCGACTTAAAGTTTTTAAAAGAAATGTTTGTATTGTAGGTTGCCTGGGTAACAAAATCTGGCCAATCAGAATTAGCTGAGCCGATTGCTATTAGACCCACGAGCGAGACTGGTAAACATTACTTATTATAACTCAAGATCGGATGATAATATGTTGATAGTGTCATAATATAGTGATGATCGATTATGACAAGTAATAAGTGCGATAATAATGTCTTAATAATTACTTACGAAAGTGATACCGATGCTAATGAGGGAATAAAATAGCTTGATAGTATTATTAAATGATGCTGATGACAAYGATAGCATTGCGTGACCATCCAAGTGACAATWWTGCGTSWCCATCCAAGAAACTGTTGGTTTCATTGGCGGGATTGTTACTCATTAAGGATAAACGTTTTCCAAGTCGGTTAATTCACATTACTCTTTCGAAAAAAAGAAATCGTTTAAAAAAAGTGATTGATAAAGAAACGCTGGTAGACTATTGCAATTGCTATGCTCCTCAAGTGTTCGTTGGTGATCACAGAAGCGTACACTGTAGAGTTCTAATGATGATGTTGATGCTAATGATTGATTTTTGTTTGTTGTTTGTGTTTTAGTCATGTATCCAGCATACGCTCGATGGGTTCAGTCTCATCGTGATTTACCTTTGAAGTACAATCAGTGGAATAACGTCGTGGTGAGTCTTCTCGTGTTACGTGACATATTTTAATGTATTCATATATTTTCACGGTTAGGTGACATGTTTTAATGTATTCATATATTTTCCCAGTATGATATCTTTTACGTATTTTTATGTTATGTTTTTACATGTCTGTCATGTGCCGCTCGTGTGATGATTACGTATACAGATAACCTTGATTTTCCTGGAATATAAATGTGCAATAACCTGCAATAACTTTTATATAACGCGCGCAGTGATTGGTTATAAAATTTGCAAAAAAATAATAACGTATGTCCAGACTGCTGAGACTGACTTTTATCATTTGTACCATACGAGTCGAAAACATCACATATGAAAACGGTTTTCGGAATATGAAAGAAGTAAAGCTGTGGCAATGGGTGGAGGGAGGAGGCAGAGGTTGCGAAAACGTCTGCTTCCCACTTCACACCTCATAACAATTAACTAGAAAAGTCATCAGACATCAATTATAGSTTGACAAAGAYAAAAACATCATTTGCATCTGTTGTCAGTGAGCTGTTGTGAAGTACTTTATTATAGTGACTTTTCTTATATATTTATAAATAATGCTAACACTCCTATTGTTATTTTTTAGAGATGGGAGTTCAAACACCCTCAGCCTTTCCTGCGTACTCGCGAGTTTCTATGGCAAGAAGGTCATACAGCTTACGCTGATAAAGAAGGCGCTTGTGACGAGGTATGTTTTTTATCATTCTTTTATTCATTTCTGTTTGATTTACATCTACTTCTCTTTACCCTTCTGACCGTAAAGATGGAATCTCGTAAACCTGGTGCCGGCCCCTCAAGCTTACCATTTGAGAGTGGCTTTGCCATTGGACTTTCATTAATACCATAACGCCTTATCTGTTTTGGTCYCAGGTTTACACAATTTTAGACCTGTACGCCAAAGTCTACACCGATTTACTAGCGATCCCCGTCGTCAAAGGAAGAAAAACTGAGAAAGAGAAGTTTGCAGGAGCTGATTTCACAACTACTGTTGARGCGTATATATCTGCAAGTGGACGAGGAATTCAGGTTTGTTTCTTTGATTTATTAATTTTTGYTTATGCTTTTCTTTGACTTGCTTGTTGTTTTTGTTTTGTTTGAGTAAGTCGCGATTAGTATTGCAGTCTATAACCGATATTTACAGTATGTTTTTTATTTTTAACAGGGAGCAACATCACACCATTTAGGGCAAAAYTTCTCAAAAATGTTTGATATAAGCTTCGAAGATCCTGATCCCAGTGTCCAAGTAAGTCAAAATGCTTTCGGTGCGTATTTCTGGCAGGTACTTACTACTTACTACTCTCTTTTCACCAGCAAAAACGATACGTGTACCAGAACTCGTGGGGATTAACTACCAGGACAATTGGGGTCATGTGCATGGTTCATGGAGATGATCAAGGCTTAGTGCTTCCCCCGCGTGTTGCTTCTGTCCAGGTGTGTATAAGGGGGGTGCTGCTTACTTCTCGATCCTTGGTATTCCAGTTTTAACATCAAAAGTAGATAATCATTGTTTGATAGAGGGATGCGCCATTGATATCACAACAGTCATCACTATCTTCATCATCATCATCATCACTCTCCTACTTTAACTTCAATACTATTGTCTACTCTGATGTGCTTCTTAATTTCCGGCTGTACACAAGACCACAGACCGCCAGCATCGCAGGCTAATTATTGTCATTATTATAAGCTTACCTATCGTCATTTTATTATCGATATCCTAAAATTTAGACTCGTTTTGTATACTTAATCAATATGGTCGAGATGATTTCAATCCAGTAGTTAGCGACGCCATTTTGTCGTGCAAAAGTAAGCCAGTCTTAACGTTTTCAACCTCAAAATCTGCTAATTTTCGTTTGCTAAAATATAAGTAGTTTTACCGGTTCTTTTTAGGGAACACAAAAACGAATTTGGGGAATTATTTTTATATGGAGAATAACGGGCGAGGTCTTAATTTCCCATCATGTTTTGTTGAACAAAATTTCGTCGCTGAACATTGCTTAGTGAAATAATAACGAGCAGTAACCAAGGGTTGGAGTCAGCACATTTGAAAGTCGACGTTTGAAACGAGTATTAGTAATGGTTAATGTCATTATATTGTCATTACTACGACATTATCATGTTCGCTATCGTAACAGTAATAAGCTATCGTCATAATTATCGATAACTCCGACTTCTGTACTGTGATTAACTCGTTATTTTGTTGGTAATCAGGGCACAATTATCATTATCGATGTCATTATCCCATCAATAATCCTTCATCGTCAACCTCCTGAACAGCTTGACACAAAGCTAAATCGGTTCAAACGAACTGCCTGCTAGTCTTTTAGTAATGATAGAAAACCATGTAAGGGTCCGACAGGAAAAGCCCCTGGCAGAAAGATCAACCCTCAGTTTCAGTAATAGAAAATAGCCCAAAGCAAAACTTCACCACTTTGATGTAATGCTAAACATCTGTTTATATTTTAAGGTTGTAATAGTGCCATGTGGATTGACGGTTAACCTTTCTGACGAGGAGAAAGACGTCCTGATGAAACGATGCGCCGAGTACGAGACGGCTTTGCAAGAGGCTGGCATACGAGTCAAAGGAGACTTCCGTGAGAACTATTCCCCAGGATGGAAATTCTATCACTGGGAATTAAAGGTACTTAAAAAAACGCTTTGGTTTTATTCTCCTAAACTTATAGTTTTAATGCCACTTTGGGTTTGTATAAGGCTGGGGGTTTGGGTATATCGGAAATTTGTCGTCATACAGACATTTCTCTATAGGCACTACGAATACCAGATATTTTTGTTTTGTTTTTGTTTGTTGTTGTTGTTTTTTTGTTTTTTTTTAATGGAAACATCTTTTCCTTCCGCAGTGTAAGAGCTCATTGTACTTTAACCAGCTATATGTGCTGTGTCCAGATTACGGAGAAGGTCGTATTAATGAGGTTCTTTATTTTCCCTTTGTAGGGAGTACCAATCCGACTTGAAGTCGGACCACGTGACGTCAAGAATAATCAGTTTGTTCTGGTGAAGAGAAATGACCGAACCAAGGTATGACACTCTTTTAAGTTTATTGCGTTCTCATTCCCAGTCCAACTGAACAGATATTTTTTAATCAATACTAAACAATCGAACAAGTAATTGTTGATAGTTTAAAATAGCTTTTTGTCCAGTGGACTCTCACAAGTAGGATATAGACTATAGGAGACTGGTCCTTGCCGGGTATTTTATGCCATTACTAAATCTTTGCAGTCATTACTAAAAGTCTTTGCAGTCATTACTAAAAGTCTTTGCACTCATTACTAAAAGTCTTTGCACTCATTACTAAAAGTCTTTGCACTCATTTCTAAAAGTCTTTGCACTCATTACTAAAAGTCTTTGCACTCATTACTAAAAGTCTTTGCACTCATTTAGTACATCCTGGGGCTAATACTTTAAGCTTATTGAAAAGGATATTTATAAGAGGGTATTCCCACACACCACTGAGAACTTATTGTCTAGCTGACTACCGCCAACAGACTATTTTATTAATGTTAACATCACATCACCAAATATTTCTCCTTGGTACAAAATTTTGAATGACTTCAAGAAATGTACCAGGGTTTGGCGGGCACTGCATGGGTGAAAACTCGATGGCAGACAGCGAAAAAGCACCTGAGCTAAAACCCTGAACACGTAAGGCCTCTAGGCCCAGGCTCATGCGGTGTGAGAAAAAAACATTTTCCACTTTTTTCGTTGCTCAGGCAGTGGAAAATACAACTTTATGAGTGGGTAGTATATATGTTGAGCTAACAAGAAAGTTATCTTCGATGCTTTTATTCTTGTCATTCCTCGGAAAGAAAATATTTTAAAGTTTAGATTCAATCGAAACAGTCTAGACAACCATGTTGGTATAGTGCAATTTTAGTACTGATTAGCAGTAATGAGAGTTCACCCTCCTACCCTCCTTATATCTGCAGAAAATAGTCAAGAGCGAAGACTTAGTGAACGACGTCCAGACAACTCTTGAGAAAATACACACGGAGATGCTCGCAAAGTAAGTATATTGCAAGTAATGGTTCTTGAATTTGAGGTTTGTCTTTTTTTAATCGCTGTTTCTTTATTTAGGGCTCAATCTGATCTTGATGCTCATTTGGGTGTAACTACGAGTTGGCAAGAATTTCTGTCTATGTTGGACAATAAAAAGGTACGCGACGGATATTTTACTTATAGATTGATTGAATGATTGATTGATTGATTAAAGTTGTAGATTGATTCATTGATGGGTGGATTGATGTTGTAGATTGATCAATTGATTAATTGACAGATTGATTGATTGACAGATTGATTGTTTGATTGATTGATTGATGTGATTTTAGATCATTCAAGCTCCGTTCTGTGGTGACATCCCTTGTGAAGATAAAATCAAGAAAGAAAGTACAAGGTCAGTTTTAACTGCTGAATAATCATAGTTGAGATAAAATGATGCTGAAAATTGCTTTTGGCGTATTCTTTAGGGAAGAATCAGCCGAACCAGGAGCTCCATCTATGGGTGCTAAGGCATTGTGCATTCCATTCGACCAACCAGCCGAGATCACTTCTGAGTGTAAATGCGTTTGTCCTGAATGCGAAAAACCAGCCAAATTCTACACTTTGTTTGGACGCAGCTATTAGCGAGCACAGAATGCAATCTCGACCATATTGATATAATATAATGACAGTCATTTAGGAAAGAATTAAAAAACCACATCGAAATACAGTATAAGGATGATATGTGTAGCGACTTTGACACCGTCACAACAACTGAGTTTAGATTATAAACAAGTTAATCAAAATTTAGTCGTGTAAACAAGGACACCATTGTTGTATAAAATACCAAGTCATTTTATGCAGGGTAATTACTTTTATTGACCGGAATTGACCTGCTGTAGGCAAGCAGCTAGTTTCCCGTTTATGCCAAATAAGGACCACAGGTGAWCCATTGGTTTTAAGAAGAATGTTTGACTTCTGTTTTCTTTGATACAATGTCAGGTATCTTGTCATCTGTAGATTCATTTTTTTAGCAATTGTCAACTTCTTGCGTAAAGAAGACCTTCAAAACCAAGGTGGGATCCAGGGAGACCCCTCAGAGCAGGAAAAGTTAACTGATTTTTTTAAGAAATAACCATTTAGCACCCCCTAAAACCATTTAGCCACGGGAAAATGGGGAGGGGTTGGGGGTAAGGAGCGGGCTAAAACCATTTAGCCACGGGAAAATGGGGAGGGGTTGGGGGTAAGGAGCGGGAAAAGGAGAGCCTGCTAGAATGAGACACTAAATCGTATACTCGCGGTCTCCAGAGGCCGCGCGTCGTTTTCCCGTTCCTCCCCTCCCCTTCCGTTTTCCCCCTTCCCCCCTCCCTTAGAGCCGCTACGCAGGCTAGAAATCCTCGTGCTAGAGTGACATTGCATGGCTTCCGCATTTGTTCAGATAAAATCAGTCACGTTTTACTGCGTGACGAATATTTCGGTTTTTGGGAATGAGGATWGTCTGAGGGATGGGCAGATGGTCCATGACGTCATTGAGCGAGATTGAAATCTATTATCAGCGAAAAAATGTTGTTCTTAGTGCTGTCTGGACTTTATCGGTGGGAGGCACAGTAGCCATGTCGGATGGGGTACTTATGCTTACTCCCGTTATTTTGAGGGGATGGTCTTTGTAATTTTGCCGTAACACGTTAGTATTTCTTCGTTGGAGGACGGTTAAGAATACAATTAAAAGATTGACTGACTAAATCGACTTCCGCAATGAAAATTGAAACATTGYTGCAGCATGATGGCGCCGAAAATGGATGCTACTCAGCTGTGCCATGGGCATGAATGTCATGTTCGGATAAAAGAATTACGACCGCTAAAACCCGAAGAATAATAATCTGTGAAGAAATGACTTGTGATATAGTGGTCGATTGAGAATGATATGGTCGGTTATGTGGTCGATTAAATGAGGTTTGGTAATGATTAGCGAATGGCTGTAGTGGTTAATGGGCTCGTGTTGAGAGGTTGCTAGAAGTGTAGTCAGTCCAAATAGCTCTTCATCCGGAAAGGCTAAGCCATCTAACCGCTTTTGATCAACTTTCATGTATGTCAACAAGCATAGGTATGTTAAGCAAATAGTCCAATGRGAGAACATCTCACATTAGCCATTATTAACTGCCTCACAGTTGCAATTTAACGTCCTATACTTTTTCCTCCTTTTTGAAGCAACCGATATAGGTCGTRRTAATTTAAACTAATCACCAAGGGCTATCTAGGAATGCGTACAATGCCGCTCTCATACAAAACTTGGGATTTTCCCCATTGCCAATCCGCAAAAGGTCAAACCAATGAGCTTTTGTATAAAAAAATAATAAATCTTCATTTGATAGTGTTGGTATTTTATCTGTTTTTGAATAAAAAGAAATAGCATTGATGCATTGATTTAATAGTACAGCAAGTATGTGTGCGAACAAAAGAAAAAAGACTGCTTAGAGATAARAGCATTTGAGTTTGCGATGAACTGATAAAGTTGGCATGCTCCTTAAATTACATCAACACGTATCAGTTTACAGCACTTGAGGAGTCGCTACGAGTAAGAAATTTTGTCGTCCAGTTTCAAGTCAGTAGAGTCCGTGCCCCTCCGAGTTTGTAGGTCTCTGTTCATCAACAATGAAGTTAGTGGTTGTAAAGGCTGTGTGCTTGGTGCTATTAATTGCGTTAGTTGAGGTAATGTGAAGCTTGAGCTATATTGAATCAAGTTTATGACTTTGACAGTTTTAGCTAGACTGCGCCTAGTGTAGTCGTTTCTTCTCAAAGCACTATTCATTTAACGAAGACGATATTCCTTCACGGGCTAAAGGACCATTCGTTAAAGACATTGCATATAAGGATATTCAGATAATGACGGTTAAAAGTTATCAAGAGAGAGTTGTTGTAAATCTACGCGAAAGAAAGCACTGTTAATTTGTTGGCAATAAGCCGTCGTACGCTTCGTGACATCAATCGAAGACCTATTAATTTGTAATATTACTGTGGGACTGCGAAAGACCACGTTCATCGACGTGATCTTAAATCATGTCTAAGCTACACATCAACTACGCAAAGATATTTCCCTCGCTTCAGATTTCGTGGTGTAGTGATGTTGTTTTTTCAATCAATGAAAACTGCTATTAAATTTCATGCAAACTTTTCTTGAATAAGTCAAACACATCTACTTATAAGCATGACAGAATGTTGGCAAATTTGACAGTAAAACCTGAGGGCTCAAAATTTTGTATAAGCACTCTAAATAAACAACATGCCTTCTGTTTAGAACTAGACGGGTCGCGAGAGAATCAGTTTCCAATCTATCGCTACATTATGTGACATTATCTGGTAACTCACTATCAGGCTATCACGCCAACCTTTCAACTATGAAAAAAGCCTTTTATTTGGATGATATTAATACTGACCTAAAAAAATTCATAGTCAGATCGCCTAATTAATGACTTCGTAATCCAATTGAGAAAAAGTTAAAACTAGTTTAATTGATATAATGTATGAATCTTTTCTCTCTATCTTGGATACTCCAAGAACACATAGGAATCAAATATTTCATTCGCTAGTTATGATCGATTTTTGTTTCAAGAATTCAAAAAAACAAAACAGCGAAATTCCTCTGAATTAAGTTTTGTTTGATACGAAAGAGTTCATGAAGTGCGAAAAAAGCGGCGGATTTCCTGGGCGTGGTCTCCACGTGGGGGTTCTTTAAATGATATACAGTCCAAATAAGGGAACGACCTTAAAATCACTTTAAAAAAACTTCGAATTTTTTCCATTTAATGCAATATTTCATCTGTCAATGAATGTATGATTGGGTCCTATGTAATTGGTCGTGTATAAATGATGTCATGACAGTATGATTTTTCATGAGAATCAAAGGCTTTGATTATTWTTCATTTTCAACTYGTTTCCCTGGTTTTTGTTTCCTTACTCGTGTTTTTTACTGTATTTCTATGTATATTTGTTGTTCAAGTTGTTCGTTTGATGGATCACCTCGAGCAACCGTATTCGCTTTTTGCCAAAGGGATCGATTCCATTTCCGGTGTCGGTAATGAACAGTTCAAAGTTGAAGAGGCCACTTATATTTTCCATTATAAGTTCTGACCTATTTTTGTTTCTTGAACTATATACAGGTATATATAATATACGTAYCTAAGTGGGAAGCGCTAATAATGGCCTGAAATTTCAAAGAACTATCAACAGAATTCGCAAAGATCAAATTTGCCATCAAAATATAGGAATGAAAGTATAAAAAGAAAGACGTCTTACATATAATGAATTAGAGAAAAAGAAAAAATAACTCCACGCACGGAAATAACAACTTCAGCCAACCGAAAAATCAAGTCTAAAAGCTGTTCAATCTACTGATTAGCCAGATATTTTTTGTTGTCTTTGGTTAGCTGTGATTTTCAYAGAGTGCATTTCTGTTGTCTCAACCCAAGCGCAGTTAGTACAATCACGTCATTGRTGTCAATATGACAGTCTACTAGACTCACCCAGTACTTGCTATTTTCTTTGGAAGTGGTTCGTCTTAATTTGGTCTCAAAATCACTAAAACCACTTTAATACTGTCTGCAACAACTAAGAGAGCATTCCACAAAATCAATCTTGGCTTAGTATAATCACAATAGGCCAAGCACGCTTTCAAAATTATGTATAAGCAAGATATTCTTTGCTAGCATGCGATAGCAAACTGCGGACGACCGCCTATATCGCTGGCTATCTTATCGTCAAAAAATAGATCACCGATGGAAGTGTTTTGAGAAACCATCATAGGCAATAGCGTAAAAGTACACTACTTCTGTTTTCGACACATCGAGTCCAAATATGAGCCAGTTATTTAAATTGTTTAATTGTTTTCAGATTGTAACAGGTCAAACAGTAAGCACTTGTGACAACACGTTTTGTCCTCGAGGTCGAAGGTGTCTCGAAGCGCCAGGGGGATCCGGTACTATTTGTGATTGTCCKTCATCATGCTCACCTGTATACGAGCCAGTTTGCTCCGTGTATGGAATAACGTTTGACAATCGTTGCGAGTTGCATAAGTTTGCATGTCAAAGGATGACTATTAACATCGCTGTGGAAAAACCAGGACAATGCGATCCAGGTAAGYATTTTATATTWACTAATGGCATCACAAAACAGGGGCTAGCGCAGGTGATTCTAGGAGTCCCGGGATCTTCCTCCCTCCTCCCTCCTCCTTTTCCTCTCCCCCGCTCCTCCTCCTCCCTCCTCCTCCCTCCTCTTAAGTGCCTGCGTCAGAACTTAGGGATGATATAAAGTAATATAAAGTTAAAAAATATATAAACAATTTGACTAGAAATATATACAAACCGAAAAAAAGTATTGTGTTTGTATTGACTACTRCTCAAAGTCAGATTTTAAAAAGGTTTATATAAGGAAAAGACGAATTTTAAATTTAGATTTCTTTTTTCTAACAGTYAATGATCKAGGAATACAGAAGTGTGAYACCGGAAAACTTTTGCAGTTTCCCAACCGCTACTTGGACTGGCTTTTAATTGCAAAGAAGCGTCAGGGTTTGAATCCAAAGTTTAGACCAGTGCTTACAGTACGTGGAAATGAACTGAATGAAAACGAAGTAAAAGAGATTCTCGAGGTATGAACACTGAGAAATGACTGAAATGATGACGTAATAGACTTAGGCTTTTACGTCACCTACTTGATTTGTAAAATACGGTATATTATGTATATTATGCTTCAGAGGTCTTTATATAGCTAGCAGCACAAATATAAAGTAACTCAATCACTTCAGAAAATAGCTTTCTCGTTCCTCAATGATTCTTTTGTACATTCTTTGGAATATCATGGTGAGAATTTATTTTATTTTATTTATTTCTGTTTATTTATTTTTATATATGATAAGATTCTTGTATATATATGTAAACAAATATGTTCTAAACTCTSACAGTGGGAATTCAAGATCATCGACTCCAACAACAATGGTAAACTTGATGGCGATGAGATGAGAGAAGTCGAGTTAGAACTTCTCTCAATCGATGAAAGTTGTATTCGTGGCTTTTTGAAATCATGTGACTTGAACAACAATGGCGCTGTCTCGTTAGGTGAATGGTTTAGATGTTTTCCGAAAGGACACGGTAAGTATGTCACCTCTTCATGTCTCAATTGTAGTAAGCCTTTCAGTAGCAAGTAACGGCACAGCTGACTATGAAAAGTCTTATCCAGTCGTCACTTTGAAACCCGTCATGCAACTCCGATCCTATCATACAACTCCACTTCAATCCCGTCATACAACTCCACTCCAATCCCGTCATACAACTCCACTCCAATCCCGTCAT